TTTTTTTTTTTCATTATTTCAATAGCATGACAACTGTCTTCGTTTTGCAATCAAGGCACTAATCACAGCCTTTTCACATTTCTGAAGAGGACTAAAACTTAAGATTTTCGGTTTTTCAGTTATCACCCACCGCTGCGAACACGGAATAAGTAATAAGTTCAGAATGGAACCTTGTTTCTTGATTCTTTCAGAAGCCGCAGTATAGCATGTGTATTTACAGTGTATGTGTTTTTCACAATCCAAAAAACACAGGCAAGTGATAGGTAACAAGTCAATAAACTGTGTTTTCCGGAGTCCACAACCCTACTCATGATGAGTTCCACTTTTTATAAGGCTCGACAATCGACGGAAATGAGACGTGCGCACGAGTACAACTTGATTGTCCGAGAAACCAACAAAAGAGCCGGTATGTTTAACATCTCGTCGAGAAGTGATACTCCAGGTTTGCTTCGTGCGACATAATAAGCAACAAAACTTTCTGATCGTGTCCTTTACTGCTTGTCTCATCTCTCTCATCTTCCAATAGTACAAAAATGGATTCATAGTCGAGTTTGATAACACCAAAGATGCCGTCAAACACCACACGAAGGTAATCGACTGGGTGTTCAATCCAGTGATCGTAATGAAAGCTGTGACTAAACCGTACGGAAGATAACAAGCCAGTAGTGCCATTTGTATCCACAGGGCTGTGAAAACTGTCTTTTGGTATCGCGCTTTGTTCAGTTGAACTCGCTCCCCATTCTGTTGTCCCTGTTCATCTTTGTGTTGCCCTTGTGCGTGAGAAAGACGAAGTGTACGATAAATTTTAGTGTAGCAGAAAGATGAGATCGCTACACACAGTAACAACAAAGCACAAACGAATCTGAAGGCAATAGATAAACTGTTAAACGCAACCACTGAGGCAGAAGTGCACGAAAACAAAAGAATGGCTATAAGGGTCCTTACTCTCCTCACAGTTACAACTTGTCGGTATCTTAGCCCCAATAACAAAGCGAGAAGTCTGTCGACACTTATTGCGGTCGTTGTTGACAAAGATACACCAGCAAATATAAACCCCGTGAAATTATAAACGATGAAAAAGTAGTAACAACCCTTAGAGTTTTCTAATAACAAATAAAATCCACTGCGAAGAGGATGCACGATGAGGCCCACTCCCAGATCTGTGCATGCAAGGCAACCCAGCAAAAGTTTCGACGGCGGGTGTAGGGAAGACACTTTGCAAAGAACGGAAATGATAAGAAAATTCCCCAAAAATGCGATGATGGACAGAGGAACGCCTAAAGCTGAAATGATTATTCTCTGAGTGCTGCTAAGACCTGAATTGCAGAAAAACTCTTGATGCTGTGTCGTATGGTTTCCATCTCCAGGTGAATTCGCCATTATCTCCTTCACGCGTGTTCTTTTGGTTGTTATACAATTGTTGTAAAACAGCTTCGGTTATTTCCAAGCCTTCAGCTCTTACCGCTTCATTTAGAGTAAAATCATTCAGATCAAATATTACTGTTCCCTGCAAATCAGAAGGGAGTGTTTTAGTGTGGAAAATAGCTGAAAATAGGCTCAGTTGTGGCAATTTCGTTGTTGATAAGTTGTCTTACTTAAGGATGCCGAATTTTCGCTGGTCAAATTATCTTTGTTTACTCGGCTGGCTTCAATTAAAAAATTATAGCGGAGTGTCCGAATAATTGTTGTCTTTTTTTTTTCTCAACCATCGTAAAATGTGATATATTTCTCTGCCTAATTTTTAGGTAAAACAGGTAATTTTCAATTTTATATCTAAGGTTATCTCGCTCTCTGCATGGTAGTGATCAAGTTGTTAATTCTCCATAACTTTGGAGGCGGAGGCGAAGGTTCATGTTTTTTTTTTAGTATTTTGATATAAATAGTCAGATTATCTGAAAAAATAAATACTCTATTGTTCAGTTCTAACGCAGGTAGAGCATGAACTTCTGAGAAAAGGATATGGTTATATGTGCAAGAACAACAAAACGATCTCCTGGTGTTTCATCACCGAAATGATTTTTAGGGGAATCTATCCGAAAAGCAAAAAGAGAAAACGTAAAAAGTTTCATGTTTGGAAAGATGTTTTCTTGGGTAATCTGGAATATCAAAATTTTTTTGACGTGATGATGAAACATAAGTGATTTAGATACCTGAGATGCGGTTGTTTCGACTCCAATTCTGGGAGTCATGAAGCCTCGTCATTTTCATTAGAATTCATTTATAAACAGGAAGACTGAAGCGTTGTTGCAGGTGTAAAACGCATGTCTGTTTAAAAAGTGACAAACTATCAAAGTTGGACGCAATTTAAAAATTTACTATTTAAACATGCATTCATTTTTCTTCAATATTTAATATGGTATTTATTTATAGCCACTACTGTCTAAATCAACAAAGTGATTTTTTCCATATGCAGCCCACTGTAAGTCTTTTTGCCAGACTAAAATTTTTTTCGCATATCTGAAAGTGCCACATACGACACTCGCCTAAAAAACTTAAAGTAAGGGCGAGGTCGAAAAAAATAATACTTATTGAGTCAAAGGACGCCCGCTTAAGTGCGTCTGCATATTGAATTACAGCGTTCATAAGGCTAGCGTCACAAAAGTTGATGTGTATTTCCCGACGTTTTACTGACAGAACTGCTAATTAAAAAAATATAACATTTGTTCAACTGTGGAAAATTCTAAATTATTATGATGGTTGAAGCAGGGGTTTCGATAACTTTTCTATAGGCGGCTGCAGCTGATAACGTAATTAGGCGACTGTGCCGTAAGGCCGCCGGGAACCAGATTTTATTTAAAATCCTCGGTTCAGAAGTTTTCTTTTAGTTCTTTTAATTTTAATTAAAGAATCATATAACATGAAATATGTCAATAAAGAAGTGGTATTGAGATTTGAAATGTGTGTATATTGACCTCCACGAGAAGAATTAAATCATCGACAGCTGTTTCTTCATGAAAATGTTCACTTGGTTGTTTTAACAGAAAACCGTCGGAAAAAGACAAGAAGATTAAAGACCTGTAAAGTCTGATAAAAAGTTCTCCCTGGTAACTTAAGCATAGAAGAATTCGTTATCTCTTAATAAGAAAATAAAAATACAACGTACCTGATCCGAGAGTGTCTCGAGTTCTACGCCAGTCTTCTAAGAGCCACAGAGTTGACAAAATCAGTACAAGTATAAACAAGAAAATTTAGCAGTTTGCTCTTCTGCGATGGTTGTCGGAAATTTCCATGCAATAATTATTTAGTTCACAGCCATGTAGTCGCGTAGGATGAAATTTTTTTCGAACACTTTTTCATCGCAGGAAAGCTACCAATTGCTGTTGATTTTTATTCCTCACAATTCGTTTCGTTGTTAATTCTCGTTTCGAAGAAGAAATTCCACAATCGTTTAATGTCATCAAAATTTTGCTTCTGCCACCATTAATTATAGGAGGTTTTCTTAGTTTTCTTTACGGAAAAAGAAGCTACACCTATATTAAGTATTCGAGAGATCATTACCCAATATCTTTGCTGGTTACTTTTCCCGGTATGGTGCAATTTAATATTAACTGGTTATTTAAAATGACCGGCCCCTGATATCATTGTTAGTAAGTCAAAAAGAAGAGATTATGAACTCTTGGTCAAATGTGATAATCTTTAGTGCTTTTTAACAGTTTATTTTGTTCATTGAGACAGCTCAGCAAGTATATCGAATCTTTTTAAAGGCAGCATGGTTTACCGTGTTGAAACTTGTTAGATACCATTACAACCTTTGTTGAAGAGCGTTCGTAAGCGTTTGACACGCTTAAACTCAGCAGTTCCTATTGTGTTTAATTGACCCAAAGGCACATATAAAAAAATGAGTATTTATTTCCATTTCTCATGTTAAGAGGGTCTCAATGGGGTGATGGCTTTTACGGCTATCGGTTAAAATTTTGGCCAATTTCCGGCTAACGGTTAACACCTTTCCACTGTTTCCACCAGAGATATTTTTACGGTTAACTTTTTTTACGACTAATGGTTAAAATTTGTTAATTTTTACGTCTAACGGCTAAATATTTTGGTCGTTTTACGGCTAACGGTTAACTCCATTGGGACCCTCTGTTAATGCGATCCCAGTCTTTTCAATTGAAGAGAAATTTTTTTTATGATTTTGGATCCCGTGTCTCTCGGTGCGGTTATTGAGATCGAAGGTTTTTCCTTAGAAATAAGAAAAAACCGAAAAAGCTCCCTCGTGAATTTTGTGACTTTTAATTTGGCTCACAACATTTCACTTATTTAGAATGTGTTTGAAGATATTGTAGTTTTTCAGGAATACTATTTTAAAATCTTTCTCGGGAAGGCATATTTTGTGCCCTTCAAATGAAATTAAATATTGCATTATTTGCTGTATATGTTATTTTGATCGAGTCAAGTTCGAAACAATTGTCAGCGGTTTGTAAATTTCAGAACATGTGTTCTCCCCTCTATGTCTCACTCTCTTGTTTGTGAGATTGGCGAAAATGCTGTTGGATCGCAACATGGCCGGGATGCCTCTGGAAATTCAGCCAATATACCTAAGAAATTGTTTCCCTAAAGGGGGTAAAACCTTCCAAAAGAATTGTGAATTTTTATCGCACTTACTAACCGGGTATATTTCATTTTAAAAAAACCGATGGAATATGTGTTTTCCATATTTCAATGATCAAAGAACGCTGAAATTGTTTTTCTTTCGGTAAATAAAGCTCGTGACTGACTTTCTCAACTTTCATGCAGCCATGAATCTGCATACCAGTCGCTAACACCAAGTTTATCATATTCTGAAACGAGAAGGCTCGGCTTCGAACGCAGGTTGCGACTTGTACTCTGAAATATACTTACTTTACTCCCATAGTATCTCTGTCTTTTAAGAGAACTTATTATATATTATATTATCAGGATAACTGACAGAAAATTATGTATCCGGACTGACTGATATCCCCGCAGACATTACGTTATCATGTCGGAAGAACTGATACTCTTCAGTCGCTTAACGTGACATCGAAAAGTTAACTTGATCAGCAGCAAAATTGTCTGATCGTGTTCTTCACCGCTTGCCTCATTTCTGTCATCTTCCAGCAGTACAAGAATGGATTCAGAGTCGAGTTCGATAACATCAAAGTTACCGCTAGAGACACAATTACTTTAAATGACTGCGCCGCCGGATCCACTGATCCAGTAATAGATGCGAAGCTTACGAGTGAACCAAACGGAAGAGAACAAGCCAATAAAGAAATCTGAGCCCACAATACTGTGGACACTGTCTTTTTGTATCGCGCTTTATTCAGTGGAGTTCCTTCTCTATTCTGTTGTCCTTGGTGACTTTGACTCGGAACTTGTGCATGAGAGAAACGGAGTGTGCGGTAAATTTTAATGTAACAGAAAGTAGAGATTATTGTGCACGGTAAAAATGCTGCGCAGCCGATTCCCAAAGTAAGACGCAAACTGTGTAATACTGTTATTGAGCCAAAAGTGCAAAAAATCCAAAAAGTGATGACAAGAACTCTCACCCGCCTCACAGTAACCAGCTGTTTGTATCTTAGCCCCATCGACAAGGCAAGAAGTCTGTCTACACTTATGGCGGTCATTGTTAGCAAAGATACACCACCAAACACAAAACCCGTGATATTAAAAAGGATCCAGAAGTAATGACAATCTTCTGAATGGTCTGGAGAGAGAAAGAAACCGCTTCGGATAGGATGTAAAATGAGGCCCACGCCCAAATCTGTGCACGCAAGGCTGCCGAGCAGAAATTTTGACGGTGGATGAAGAGAAGAGACCTTCCGAAGTGCAAGGATGATCAAAACATTTCCAAAAATTGCAGTTATGGATAGAGGAAGTGCTAACGTTAAAGAAAACATCTTAAAGGCTGCTCCAAGACCAGTTGTGCAGAAAAATTCTCGGTGTGTTGTTATATAATTTCCAGCATCTTCTGTCAAATTCGTCATTATTTTAGTCAGACGTTTTTAACCCAATTTCTAATGATACAAGTAAGTTTACTTCACAGTAGTCACCTTCTTTCGCCTTGTTGAGATACTCGTATCCGAGGTTCGGTGTTGCTTATATGTCATTTAAAAGTAAGATAATGGTTTCATTCTCTTCGACCATTCTGTGAGTCTTTTCTTGCACCGCTTTAAAATATGGCCACAATTACTCTTCGTGCAACAGTTTGATCATGAAAAACCACACATTGATATCTTCGTTACAAACAACTTTAACGTCAGTTTCTCGCGTTTTCACTGAACCATAGGAGAACAAAGAGCACTCCGTAGCGCTTTGATATTTGGATCGTGAGCGTAACTTTGGCCAACACCTCACAATTTTTATGAACCAACGACCACCCAAAGTGTAGAACTGAGCTGGTAATCGTTAAAAGTGCTGTTGATGGTAGTTTATCCAGTGAATAGGCACGCTATGTGTTAGGTCTTTTACAAGACATTAATAGCTCCTCATCTTGTGTGTTAATTCTGTGGAGATTGGTGTCGGATCTGACAGATCTGCCACGAATTCAAAAAACGCACTCTTTTCTCCACGGTGTGGTCCAAATCTTGTGGCAAAATACTTATTAAAGTTGAAGATGCTTGCGAGCGTTCTTGATCTGAAAAAGACGAACTATAATTTTACGAATGAAAAATATCAAATGTAAGTCAGGAACCCACGCATTCGTGCGCTTAACGAGGGATAATAGGAATTTTAAGAAAACCATGACGGCAACGGCAATGGAACGTCACCAAACAAAAGGTTTAATGAGCAGAAAGATGGCTGTGCACGAATGTTATGGATCTTTGTAAATTTCTTTGCGTCCTCTGCAAAACAACATCCTGAAATGATCAAGCTCTGCGTTGTCTGGAAAACGTGAACGAAAACGTTTAAATTTTTTAATTTCTATTCCTAATTAAACGCTGTGTTCCATTTTCAGTTACGAGATAGTTTTGACAGTGAGAAACAAACTAAATGACTTTAGATTATCGCGATATTCGAAAGTAAACTACAAGTTCCTTTCTTTAACCGACGTTGTCTACGGTGTCATCGTTGTCGTTTTTAAAACTCATTAATTATGTCGGTAATATGCGTTTCCTTGACATAATTTTGGCATGGCAAGTGGGAGTCGTTATATAAAGGATCACAGAACATATTCAACTGTGTATCAGTAAATCAAAAAGTATAAAAGTTAGATCTTAAAGATTCATTTATTATGTTGTTTGTGTAAAATTGGATTTAGATGAGAAGCATTTGAATATTCGGTGCTCCTGAGGCTTATTCATTACTGGTCTAATAGACCCAATTGTTAACGAGTGTAAGGCGTCTGCAGCTGACGCCGGGTCAAAACTAAGATCAGTTAGCCTACTAGCCATCTCATAAATGGTTTCGTGGAAACAATTATATAAGTGTTTTAAAGCCTCTGAGAGGTTAAAAAATAAGATTAGAACTGAGTTCTCGGACTGTTGGTTAGCTCTATTTTTTTCTCATTAATGGTTTCAGGGAACCAATTAATATTAGGAAGTGTTAGACATCTACAAAATTGAGCTTCAAATCAATCTACAATTATCGCCGATGCTGGATAAAACTCCTACAGCCCGAAATTACAAATTTATACGCATTTACATTTTTCAGGAAAATTTTTCACCTCAATGAAAATAAAGTATATTGAGAATTGTTTTAGTAGTTAGTATCTGAAAATTGAGAAGGCTGTATGTATATGTATATATTTATAGTTGGAGAGGTAGAAATAGGTGTTAAAAACTGTTTTCCAGCAGGTGTGCAACGCGAATATGAATGTTAAGATGTTATGCATAGATTTTTTTCTTTACATCGGTCGAATTGCGGTCGAATTGAAAATTCCGAATTGTGAGAGAAATTTGTTACAAGTTAAATTGCCATTTATAAAAAGTGAACCATTTGAACAGAGCGAATTGCATAGTCCAATTTTGTTAGATTAAAAAAGTATCAGACAAGTTTTTAGATGCAATCCGTTGCGTTTCTCTTTCTGGTTTTGAAAATGATAGACAAAATGAAGTAAAGAAAATAAACGTTATGCCCCATTGCCTGAAAAAACCAATTCATCAGGAACTATAATTCATTTTAAAGATGCCCTTTTACGTCAGTAAATTGTCACGGATTTTAGATGGGGAATGTTTTCTCTGAAGGCTAATAATTGGTCTGTTCTCACCTGTTTTTCTGCCAAATATCTCTTTTAAAGAAGGTTTACATTTTTCAAACAGTAATGAGAAGTTCCTCGTTTGATCTCTCTCTGTGAAATAGCCTTAGCTTTTAGAAATACGTTTGTTTCACAGATATATAGGCCAAAACAAATTAAGGATATCGACTCACCATATGACTCTTGTCCTTATTTCATAAGGAGTATCCAATAGAGCCTGGCAGGTATTTTTCGCTTAAACTCGTGAGATGCTGCCTTGAAGTTTCTCGAATTAAGCTCTTGTTATAAAGGGTAAAATTGCGGTCTAGAACTTATTATAATTCGAAATGGTATTTGTTCGTTGACCTCATCAAGTGTACTTATCATAGAAGTCGTAACCCTATTGGTAGACACGTCTTGCATAAGTCGACAATTAACATCAAACAGTAACTGAAAGTGCGAATATGTTAATTTTTAAGTACTTTTAATTCGGGAATACTTTTTTAAGTATATACAATTGTGATATTTTATTTAAGTGCAGTAGGTTAGGGATTAGTTTCTGGTTTGGTTTTTGTTCAAGGACGCTGACCGACTGAGTGTTCATGCTGATACACAATCCTACCATTTCCTAGAGGTAATTAATTCAGAGGCTCAATTATTATTTTCAGTCTTTACCTTTCGACATAAACTAGTATTTTGCTGTTTCATTTTGGAAAATCTGTTTCTACCTGGAAAATCTAGAATTATTAATTTAGTGACACAGTCAAATGTCGCTTAGGGTTTTGCTACGCTTTACCGAAACCATACTAATGCGTGGTTTCCTTCAAACTGAATTTTTGTAATCGTACTATTGTTAAACTTAAATATTTCTTTACAAGAGTGTACCTAATAATTTTTACATTGCTCACGTCGGTTTTTATTTTGACCAGGCAACTTACGAACGATAGTGAAAACTTCATATGAAAAAGATTTTTGACACTATGCAGTTAGTATGCTAATCATTTGTCACTTGGACAATCGCAGTATGGTTCCTATCTAGTGCGCGAGGCACTTATTCATTTTTGTCGTTTTATGAACGAATGTCAATCTCCTTGGTTACTTCAAAAGAGCGTAAGCAACAACCTAGTGTTCAGAGATCAGTTGAGCAGTTGAGTTGTAAGCAGTCAAGTTGTAATACTACTGGAACTATATCGAGCCATTCTGAAAGAAATTGAAGAGACAAGCGCATTTCTCGTTGTTGGGTGGTGGCTAGTTCCCAATAAAAACTACCTCAACACTTCTCCCTTTTGCTTATCACACGAGGTAAAGAAACCAACACACGCTTTTAAAAAGCATTTGACAATAAGAACTTAAGTGGAAATTTGTTTATGCAAGAATGAGCTTTTTATAACGGGCCCCAAGGGAAACAGTAAGTTTTGTTTCCCCGAGGCGAGGCGGAGGGGAACATTTAGGGTCGAGGGGCAACAAGACTTGCTGTTTCCCTTGGGGCCAGTCATTAAGTGTTTTGTTTCCTCAACCAACTCAAAAATAGGACAGACTGATGTCTTTCCCATTTTTGAGTTGGTAGGGTAGTGTTTAGGGTGTTCATTGTAAAATTTTACCCATGAACTGCAAAAAGGAAATCTAAAATTTTGCAGTGAAAAAACGAATATAGGAGATCTTCGCAGCTAAGAACTCTACTGACCTAGTAGCTGAAAGAAGACCTGAAAAAAATTCAGGCCCGTACGGGATTGAACCCATGACTTCTGCGATACCGGTGCAGTGCTCTACCAACTGAGTTAACAAGCCAACTGGGAGCTAGTCAATATGTTGGGTCCAAATAAACCATCCGAGTGATGAATAATGAATTTATATATATGATATTCATATATGTGCACTGCGGAGGAAAAACGAATATAGGAGATCCTCGCAGCTAAGAACACTAATGAACTAGTAGTTGAAATAAGACTTGAAAAAAATTCAGGACCGTACGAGATTTGAACCCATGACCTCTGCGATACCGGTCCAGCGCTCTACCAACTGAGCTAACAAAAGTTTTGCCTCAAGCTTTGCCCATGAAACTATCTTTGGTAGGAAGTAAATAAAACCGCATTGGTTTCTGGAAATACGTTAAAAAAAATTTGAAAGCTGTCAATAATCAAAGCAGAAAGAAAAAAAAATTTCAAAAGTTGACAAGCTCGCTCCTCGTAACACACTGCGTGCAGCAAGAAATCGTTTCCATTCCTAAATTGTGTGATATCTAAGGGGGGTGGAAAGCATTTCAATTTTGAAAAATTAATTATTATTTTTATCAATTTACTTCGCCGTAGTGACTTCAAACTTTTGGTTATTTTGCTAGCATAACAGCAGAAATATGTAAAATTATGAAAAGCTCCATGAATCCTACATTTTAACCGTTTTAAAAAGAAAATATTGTAGGAGAGAGCATTTAGAATACACTGACTGATACTCTAAACATTTCAAACGGCTAAAATCTAGCAAACGATTCTGTCTCGTGACGAAAGAGGTGAACAAACGTATCGAATATCGTATTGATTAGCGTTCGGTCAACGTCGTAATGAGCAACTCTTTTTAAAAAAAGCTACTCTTTTTAAATTAAACTATTCAAACCTGTATGAACATTTCATGACCAGACTACAGGACAGCCGCCGGGAGCTCTTGGAGTGAGGCACTAACATTTTTTTTTTCTTCACTGATTTTATTCGACCTGCGCTTCGGACTTGTGCTGTTATCACCGCGCCACGGACTTGCGCCACTGCTTGTGCTGTTATCGCCGCTTACGCTAAATAAGATCCTGTAGTTTAGTCCTGAAATGTTGATACAGGTTTGGCTTAAGCTCTTAAGCTCTTAAGCTCTACATAATTCTGCTGTCACCCCAGCAAAATCACCAAAAGTTTGAAGTCACTACGGCGAAGAAATTAATAAGTGTAAGATGTTTTTATATTTCACTGCTTTCGAACATCTTGATAGGCGGAATCAACCGCAGTTTTCAATGGTCTGGTCTGAACTTGAGAAATATCACCCAAGAAAGAAAGAGTACTTTTGACCAATTTTAGAAAGCTGTCTAACGGGTGTTTTAAAATAAATTATGTTGAACCTCTAAATAAACACATTTCAAAATTGAAATGCTTTCAAAACCCCTTAGATATCACCCAATTTAGGAATGCAAACGATTTTTAGTTGCATGCGATGTGTTATGAGGAGCGAGCTTGTCAACTTTTGAAATTTTCAATCGCCTCACAAAAAAGCTGCATGGCTGGAGAAAGTACCATTATTCCCTTGTTTGTGTTTTTACTGGTTTAATCCGACTGCATGGGGACGATTCATTGACGGGTACTATTCACATCGAAAGTAAATACTTTCTCTTGATAACATTTTTGGCGAAAAAAAAGATTTGGCTCACGAATGCTTCAACTTGAACAGGCTAAAACACAATGTTTAACTACCCCCATCCATTCTTTGAGCTAGTCAAGGCCGCGAACCAAAATTGTTTTGATGTTAATTCCAACCAAACATCAGAGAAGACTAAAACAACGTTCAGTGTCATGGTAATCAGACTTACATGTATTGATCTACACTAATCAGTCGTCTGCATTGACGAAACATCCATTCATTACTGAAATCGTCCTGACTAAACAAAGACCGTAAAGCTCACGCCTCCGACGCCGGCAGTTGGTAATTTAAGCTGGTTTTAAA